TTTTATTTTATGTGTATAAGTGTATTGCCTGCATGTATGTGAGTGCACCCACTTCGTGCAATTCCACAGAGGTCAGAAGAGGGCTTGGGATTCCCCTGGAACTGGAGTTAAGGACAGTTCGTAGCCACCATGTGGGTGCTGGGAATCGAACCCAGGTCCTCTGCAAGAGCAGTCAGTGCTCTTAACTGCTGAGCCATCTCTCCAGCCCCCCAACGTATTATTCTTTAAAAAAATATATTTTTTATGGGGCTGGCAGGACAGCCCAACAGGTACAGTGCTTGCCATGCCAGCCTGACAACCTGTGTTCCACCCCCAGATCCCACCTAAAAGTGGAAGGAGAAAACTGACCCCACGAAGGAGTCCTGTGACTTCCATACTAATTCCACGGCATACATGCATACACACCCATGCACACATACATACAAAATAAATAAATACATACATAACCAAAATTTAAATTAAAAAAATGCAAAATAAAGTAAATGCTATATTGTGGACAAGTGTGATATGACATTACTATAATCCCAGCATGGGGAGGTAGGGAGCTGAGACGGGAAGATCTTGAATCTGAGGTGAGCCTCAGTTAAATATTGATACACTGTCTTCTTTTCTTTAAAAGATTTTTTGGATTTTTTAAAAAAATTTTATGTTGTGAGTGTTTCACCTTGCTTGTATGTAAGTGCACCGTGTGCATGCAATACCTGTGAAGGCCAGAAGAGGGCTTCGGAGCCTCTGGAACTGGAGTTATGAATGGTTGTTAGCTGCCCTGTGGGTGCTGGAAACCAAACCTCCTTCCTCTGCAAGAGCAGCCAGTGCTCTTAACTGCTGAGTCATCTCTATAACCCCCCGTCTTTTTTTCTTTCTTTGAGACAGGATCTCATGGTCTTAAACGTACTATGTAGCCATAGATGGCCTTGAATGTCTGATCCTCCTGCCTCTACCTCCCAAGGACTGGGATGACACACCACAGACCCTGTCTTAAAACCAAACCAACACTCGGAAGGCAGGGATCTCTGTAAGTTCAAGGTCAGCCTGGTCTACTAAGGGAGTTCCAAGTTCCAAGTCAGCTGGCGCTACAGGGAAAGGCTGTCACAAAAAGATTTAAAAAAAAAAAAAACAAAAAACAAAAAACCTAAATCAAAGTATTGTATGTGGATATGATCCAATGCTGGGGAACAGCCCTAAAATGGGTAAGGACCTGAGCTCCACCCCAGACCTACAAATAAATGTTATTTGCTATGATTTAGATGAGAGTAGAATGTGCCCTACAAAGATTTGTGTTCCAGGGCTTGGATCTAGTGTGAAAGGGCTGGGAGGTAGTGGAACCTTTAAGAAGTGGGGCCTAGTGGGAGATAATTAGGTCACTGGGGGGCATTACTCTTGGAAGGGATTAATGGAGTTCCCCAGGGACCCTACCCAGTTCTCTTAAGAGCAGATTGTTTTGAGACTGGAGAGATGGCTGAGCAGTTACGAGTGCTTGCTTCTCTTCCAGAGGACCCAAGTTCAGTTCCCAGCACCCATGTTGGGTGCCTCACAATGGTCTGTAACTCCAGCTCCAGTGGATCTGATGCCCCCTCTGGCCTCTGTGAGCAAAGGGTTCACTAACATATACGCAGGGAAAACACTCATACATATAAAATAAAAATAAATGACTCTCAGGGCTGGAGAGATGGCTCAGCGGTTAAAAGCACTGACTGCTCTTGCAGAGGACCCGGATTCGATTCCCAGCACCCACATGTCGGCTACAAACCATCCTTAACTCCAGTTCCAGGGGAACCTGACACCCTCTTCTGACCTCCGCAGCACTGCATGACCTTGGTGCATTCACATATGTGCAAGCAATACACTCATACACGTAAAATAAAAATAACAGGGCCGGGTGTGGTGGCATATGCCTTTAATCCCAGCACTAAAGAAGTAGAGGCAGGCGGATCTCTGTGAGTTCAAGGCCAGCCTGGTCTACATAGCGAGTTCTGGATCTGCTGGGTCTTAAAAAAAAATAATAATAATGATACATTAGCCAGAGAGACAAATGCCTTTAATCCTAGCCCTGAGGAGGCTGAGGCAGAAGGATCAAGAGTTCATAGCCAAGGACCTGGCATGGTGGTGCACGTCTTTAATTCTAGCACTTGGAAGGCAGAGACAGGCAGATCTCTGACTTGGAGGCCAGCCTGGTCTACATAGTGAGTGCCAGCCAACTGGGGCTACAGGGAGACTGTGTCTCAAAAACAAAACACTGTTCATAGCCAGACTGAGTTATATAGTGAGTTCAAGACTAACCTGGGCCACATATTCAGACTAGACTATCTCCAAAACAAAAAAAAACAAAGCTGGATGGGGTGTGGTATTGCATGCCTTTAATCCCAGCACTCAGGAGGCAAAAGTAGGCAGATGTTTGTGAGCCTGGTCTACATACAGAGTCCCAGGCCAGCCAGGACTACATAGTGAGACCCTGTCTCGAAAACCTCCAAAGAAACCTTTGTCCCCTCCTTTAATTAAGCCCATATTAGCCATAACTAATCCATCATACCCAAGCCACTCTTTCCTGCTTGCCCCTGATGATGGGACACGGCGGTGAGCGGGTACGACCTGTTGTCTCCAGCAGATACTGGGGGCCATGGAGTCTCAGGTGGGGGGGGGCCCGGCTGGCCCGGCCCTGCCCAACGGGCCACTCCTTGGGACAAACGGAGCCACTGATGACAGCAAGACCAACCTCATCGTCAACTACCTACCCCAGAACATGACCCAGGATGAGTTCAAGAGTCTTTTTGGCAGCATCGGGGACATCGAGTCCTGCAAGTTGGTTCGGGATAAGATCACAGGTGTGACTCTTCCTGACATGGGGTTCTGGCGGGGCACAGGGGTGGGGATAGCCTTGGGAACACAGGTTTCTGTTGGTGGGGTATCTCAAGACTGCTGGAGTCAGGTGGCTCTTAGGGGTACAGGTTGTCATGGGAAGGGGGCTTGGAATTTGAGGAGGACCAGCCAGGGTGGTTACTCCTGGTTTTCCCCACAGGGCAAAGCCTGGGCTATGGGTTTGTGAACTACTCGGACCCCAATGATGCCGACAAAGCCATCAACACCCTCAATGGCCTCAAATTGCAGACAAAAACCATCAAGGTGAGTGTCCCCACATTGTGTGGCTACCTGTTCTTCATCACCGTCCCCTCCACTGTCCCCTGACCCTACTGTCATCCCCTTCACTCTCAAGGGCTTTAGGATCTCTCTCTAGTCACCTGACTTTCCTACCCTAAATTTGTTTCTTCACCCATCAAGGTGAGAGAATGTTACTTTTTTCTGGTTCTCTTTTATTTATTTTGATTTTATGTGTACAAGTGTTTTGCCTGAAAGTATGTAAATACACCATGTGTGTATAATGCCCACAGAGGCCAGAGAGGCATTGGATCCAGTGGAACCAGAGTTACAGATACTTATTAGCCACGTGTGGGTGGTGGGAACTGAACTGGGGTCGTCTGCAAGAGTAGTTAGTGCTCCTAACTGCTGAGTCAGCTCTCCAGCCTTGGGAGTATTACAATTTTATTTTATCATTTTGTGTGTGTATATAAGTCGGAGGCCAATTTGTAGGAGTTGGTTCTCTGCTTCCACTGTGTGGGTCCCAGGGATTGAACTTGGGTCCCAGGGCTTGGCTCTAAGCTCCTTTGCTCACTGAACCATCCCCTCTGGTTTAAGAATATACATATATCAACAATTAAGTCTCTGGAAAACTTGAGGAATCTGCCAGGCCCAAGCCTAGGTCAAAGTGATGGGAGTAAGGCGGGGAGGTGTCCGCATGGGCAGGGCCCCTCTTTTTCTTTGTCCTGGAAAAGGGGGTGGGGGCCCATCTACCATCTGGAATCTAATTAGGATCTGGGGAGGGGCGGGGTTAGGGGCAGCCCTTCCCCCACAGCCTTCCCTTTCACCAGCTCCAGCTGGAACTCTGTGAGCCCAGGATCCCTTAGTGGGGGTCACCATGGAAACGTCCCTCTCTAAATCTGCCTGGGGGGTGTTTGGGCTCTGCCCTTCAAATCTGTTCAAGGACCCCTGGGAAGTGTAGGAATCTTTTCCTCTCCCTGATGTGTGGGAGTTGGGGGGAAGATTGTACCTACCCAATGAACCTGTCTCTGGTCAGTCGGTTCCAGAAGCCCCAGGTGGCACAAGGGAGGACCTCGGTAGTTATAAGTATATGAGGGGTGTATAAGACAGTAGATAGTAACTTGGTGGTTGTGTGACAAAGTATCTCTATGCAAGTGTGTGATGTCAGATGGGTCTGGGTAGTTAAAGTTGGAGGCATGGAACTAGAAATGAGTCTCAGTAAGAGAGTGCTTGCCCAGCACACACACACACACACACACACACACACACACACCCCACACCCAACAATCTTTAATAGCAGCACTCAGTAAGTGAAGGCAGGCAGATCTCTGTGAGATTGAGGTTAGCTTGGTCTGCATAGTGTGTTCCAGGCCAGTCAGAGCTACATAGTGAGGTCTTTTCTCAAAAACAACAAACAAACAAATGATTAGGGGTAGGGTCTGGGGAGATCGTTCAGTCACGTGTCCTGCATTGGGGACCTGTGTTTGAGTCCTAAGAACCCTAGTGAAAAATCAAGGTTTGGTGGCTCACATGTGTAATCCACGTTCTGGAAAGGTGGAGACAGACAGATTCCAGGAACACTGGTTACCCAGCCAAGTCTACTTGGCAAGTTCCAGTTCCCAATGAGAGACCCTGTCTCAGAAACAAGGGGGACGGTCCCTGAACAATGATACCTAAAGTTGACCCTGGGCCTAAACAGGAACATAAACACACCAAACACACCATACACACACAGACACAGACACAGACACACACACACACACACACAGACACACACGATCTAGGGACTTGGAGTTGGAACTCAGTGGGTAGAGTGCTTGCCTAGCATGCACAAAGCCCTGAATTGCATCCTAGCACTGCATAAACTGGGCATGGTGGTGCGTGCCTGTCATCCCAGCACTGAGGAGGTAGAGGCAGGAGGATCAGGAGTCATCCTTAGCTACAAAGCAAGTTCAAAGCCAGCCTGGGCTACAAGAGACCCTGTCTCAAAAAACAAAATGTGTCCCTCTGTGTAGAACCTATGTTTGTGTGACTTGTGACATTGCAACTCTAGCTGTGACCTCAAGTGTGTACCTTGGGTGTGTCTGGTTGCAACAGGATCTTTTTTTTTTTAATTTTTATTGTACGTATATGAGTGTTTTACCTTCATGTATGTAAATTCACCATACGCATGCGGTACCCACTGAGGCCAGAAGAGGGCATGGGCACCCCCGGAACTGGACTTACAGAAGGTTGTCAGCTGTTGTGTGCTGGAATGGGTGCTGGGAACCAAACGTGGGTCCTCTGCGAGAGCAGAGCCATCTCTCCAGCCCCACAGCAGGATTTTAGTGGGTCGTGGTTTGGCTTCGTGGGCTGTCTACCTGGCCTGACATGGGTGTGACAGACGCCTCATTGTTTTCTTGTTGTCATTCTGGAAGACCTCATGTCATTGTGCACTTGGTGGTGGTTTTGAGACACCCTCTTGCTGGTTTTGTCTCAGAGGCTGTCACTGCAGGCCTGTAGGTTTGTGCCCTGAAACAGTGTTGGTCAGTCCTAACTGCTGTCCTGGCAGATTCAGACAAAAATATTTCCATGCACCAGGTCCCATCCTGCCATAGAGAGTATGAAGAACTCAGACCATACCATTCAGGACACTACAACTCAGAGGGATGGAAAAGGCTGAGGATATGGCTCAGTGTGTAAAGCACTTGCAGCAAACCTCGAGGACCTGAGTTCAAATCCCCAGAACCCACGCAAAGGCAGACAATGTAGTGAGCATCTGTAATCCAGAGTATCTTCTTGGAGATAAGACAGGGAGACAGGAGAGTCCCGGAAGCTCGTGGGCACTCTCAGCTGAGAGCAGTGTTCCCACCTGGGTGTGGTGGCACACACCTTTAATGAAAGCACTTGGGAGGCAGAGACAGGCACATCTCTGTGAGTTTGAAGCCAGCCTGGGCTACATAGAAAATTCCAGGCCAGCCACTACTCTGTGCATCACAGAACCCATAACCTAAGAGCTGAGCTGGGAGTGGTGGCACGTGTCTATATCACCATCACTCAAGAGTCTGAGGCAGGAGCATTGCTTCAACTTCCAGCTTAGCCAGGGTCATAAAGTGAGACCTTATCTTACACACACACAAACACACAAAAATAAATATGTATCCCAAAGCCCTGGCTTCCCTTCCTGTCACTCCTAAATCTAACTCATAGCACCAGACCTTACCCCTCAAAACTCACATTCCCATAATTGAGTCAGAAAACTCTCAAACACATGGGTGCAATTTTTAAATTATTTTTTGGTGGGTGGCTGGAGAGTTTGCTCAGTGGTTAAGACCACTTGTTCTTACAGAAAACCCAGGTTCAGTTCCCAGCACCTGCATGGTGGCTAACAACCGTCTGTAACTCTAGTTCCAGAGGATCCAACACTCTCTTCTGGCCTCTCCTGAGCATTGCATACATATGGTGCACTTACATACATGCAGGCAAAACAATCATACACCTAAAATAAAAATAATAAATAATAAATTTAAAATTATTTTTTAGTGAGAAAATTTTTTTTCTTACTATTTAGCCCTGGCTGTCCTGGAACTCACTATGGAGACCAGGCTGGCCTCTAACTCACAGAGATCCACCTCCTCTACCTCTTGAGAGCTGGGAGTAAATGTGTGCACCACCACACCTGGTTATTTTTTTAGTATTTTGATTATAGTTAGCTCTTTCCTTCTTCCTATTTTTTTTTCAAACTTTAAGACCATGTTTCATGTAGTCCAGGCTGGACTCATACTAGATATATAGCTGAAGATGACATTGAACTTCTGATCCTCCTTCCTCTATCTCCCCCTGTGGGGATTACAAGGATGTACCACTGTGCCCAGTTTGTGGGGTGCTGGGGATCAAACCTGCGTGCTAGGTGAGTGCTCTATTCCTTGAGTCACAGCCTTAGTCCTAGTTACTTCTTTTCCAAAATTTGCTACGTTTATTGTGTGCTTATGTGTGTGGGTGTGAATGGCACACATGCATGTAGAGGTCAGTTCTCTCCTTCCACCATGTGGGTCTCAGGAATTGAACTGGGGTCCTCAGACTTGGTAGCAAGCGCCTTACCTGCTGAGTCATCTCACTGGCTCCTAATTTGTGATGGAGCCACCATACCACCACTGCTCCACACAGATGCCAGACCGTGACCCCTATCTACCCAGAGCTTGGAGGTTCTGTAGAAGAAGCAACCGAAAGAAGGTTGGGGGAGCTCAAGACCTCTCCAACAGCAGGGGTGGATCACTGCATTGGTCCTTATGGACGAGGCCTCTGCAGTCAGTCTCCAGGACATGGATAAACACACAGTGAGCTGGGGTCCCACAGTATGCTGCTTTGTACTTGGACCTTTCTTTCCCCAACCTCAGAGTACTCTCCAGCGTCTGGGCGTTGTAAATGTCCACATCCACTGTTTTTGTTACTGCTTTGTTTGGTGTTATTTTTTAAATGAAATTTAAAAAAAATTATTATTTTTAATTTTTTGTAGGATTAATTTTATCATGTGTATTTTACATGCCTGCATGTATGTAAGTGTACCACATGCATGCAATGCTCAGGAAAGGCCAGAGAGGGTGTCAGATGCCCTGGAACTGGTACAGAAGGTTGCTAGCTGCCGTGTAGTACGGGACCTGAAGCAGGTTCTCTGGAAGAGCAGCCAGTGCTCTTAACCACTGAGTCAGGTCTCCAGCCCCTTGGAGGAAATTTTTTTAGACAGGGTCTATCTAAGCATCTCTGGAACTCGCTAGGTAGTCCAGGCAGGCCTTGGGCTCAAGCTCACAGAGTGCTGGAGTTAAGTACCTACTTTTTTTTAGGGGGGGGTCTTTTTGAGACAGGATCTCCCTGTAGCCCCAGCTGGCCTGAACTCACTATGTAGACCAGGCTGGCCTTGAACTCACAGAGATCTGTCTGTTTCTGCCTCCCAAGCGCTGGGATTAAAGGCCTGTCCCACCACGCCCAGCTGTACCCACCATTTTTAAGCAGCTGCACAGTCTCATTGTTAGGGTACATTCTTATTAATGACACAAATGCTAAGATGGAACTGATGTGTATGGAATTCACTTAAAAATGCCTGATATAGGGCACTAAATGACTGCTAAGATGACTCAGCAGGTAAAGGTACTTGCAGCCAAGCCTGATCACCTGAGTTTGATCCTTGGGTCCCACATGATGGTAGGAGAGAACTGACTCCCACAAGTTGTCTTCTGACCTCCACACATACATCTATTCAGGCGCACACACACACTCACACACACACACACACACACAGAGTAAATGTAAGAATTTTTTTTTTTAAGCGCAGTAGAGGTGGGACTAATAGGAAGGACCTTTCAACTGAGGGGAGGAGAGTTTCTATGATGAGGGGTAGGAAGCGTGAGTCAGAGCTTTGGTCTCACTCTGAACTTGAACTCCAGGCCATCCTCCTGTTGCATCCACCCGTGTTGGGTTTACAGGCATGAACCACCACACCATGCAGGAAGACACTTCCAAACAGCAAACAGCAGGTGGAAAGGTCCTGAGGCTGAACGTGCCTGGTGTATCTGTGGTGAAGAAAAGAGACCCTGGGGCTGGAGAGAGAGTGCAGAGGTTAAGAGCACTGGCTGTTCTTGCAGAGGACCTGGGTTTGAATCCCAGAACCCACATGGCTGCTAACAACTCAGCTACAGCCTCAGTCTATAAACTCTTCCAAACGCTTTGCATACTATTCCGTCACGTCTTTGCCCTCGTCTCCCTCACTTCGCTCCTCCCCATGCCTTCCTCAGATTCAGTTACCTGGGTCTCTTTTCTTTCTTTTTTTAAAAAATTATTTAATCATTTCTTTATTTTTATTTTATGTATATGAGTGTTAACGCCTGCATACATGTAGCTTAGTGGTACAGCATTTTTCTAACATGTGAAAGGCCCTGGGTTCAGTCCCCAAAACTACACACACACACACACACACACACACACACACACACACACACATATACACACACGCAAGCACACACACACAGAAGGACTTGGGCTGGAAGATGGCTCAGCAGGTAAAGTGCTTGCTGCCAAGCCTGATGACCTGAGTTCAATCCTCAGGACCCTATACATGGTGGAAGGAGAGAACCGACTCACCAAGTTGTCCTCTTACTTCCGCATGTGTACCATGGCACATGTATATACATGCACACACACATACACACACACACACACACACCCTAAGAAAAAAAAATTTTGAGGCAGGGTCTCCCTATAGCCCCAACTGACCTGGAACTCGATATGTAGACCAGGCTGGCCTTGAATTCACACAGAGCTGCTTGCCTCCTCCTCCCGAGTGCTGGAACTAAAGGTGTGGATTTTTTATTTTTTTAAAGGCTGGCTGTGGTGGCGCACGCCATTAATCCCAGCACTTGGGAGGCAGAGGCAGGCAAATCTCTGTAAGTTCAAGACCAGCCTGGTCTACCTAGCAAGTTCCAGGACAGCTGGGGTCATAGGGAGACCCTGTCTCAAAAAAGACCAAAAAAAAAAAAAAAGTCTTTAACGGTAAGGCAAAGAAAGGTGGGAGCCCTGGGGAATTCAATGCAGAGGGCTCACAGGCACCCTGAGGCTGCTGGCAGGGGGATAGACTGGAGGCTGAGCTTGGAAACTGTGATCCACGGCTGAGGCTGGACAAAAAGTAGAAGAATGTGTGTAATCTGGCGGCAGAAATCAGATATTGGCAGGTTTTCTCATTTAAATCTTCTGTGTGGATTTGTGTGTGTGTGTGTGTGTGTGTGTGTGTGTGTGTGTGTGTGAATTTGTGTTTGTGTGAAGGCATTAGATCCCCTGGAAATGGAGTTATAGACAGTTAGCTGCCATGTGGATACTGGGAACCAAACTTGGGCCCTCTGTAAGAGCAGTCAGAGCTCTTAACTGCTAAGCTAGTTCTCCAGTCTCTCTCTCTCTCTCTCTCTCTCTCTCTCTCTCTCTCAACTTTTTTGAGACAGGGTCTCCCTGTAGCCTCAGCTGGCCTTGAACTCAGAGATCTGCCTGCCTCTGCCTCCTCCTTTTCTCTTTTTAAATTCTTACTGGCTAGGTGTAGTGACACACACAACTTTAATCCCAGTACCCAAGAGTCAGAAGCAGGTGGAGCTCTGTGAGTTCCGGGTCAGTCTGGTCTACAGAACAAGTTCCAGGCCAGCCAGGGCTACAGAGTGAGACCCTGTTCCAAAACAAAACTCATTTTGTGTGTGACTATGTGGGCTCAAGTATATATGCATGTGCCTCTTTGTGTGCCTGTGAGAGTGTGTGTGTGTGTGTGTGTGTGTAGGCCAGAGGTCTATTTTGGTGGTACTGTGTTGCTCCTCAGGAGCCATCACTTTGAGTTATTTTAATTTTTAAAAAATTTTTATTTTTATTTTATGTGTATGTGTGTATTGCTGCATGTAGGTAAGTGCACCCATGTCGTGCAATGCCCGCGGAGGTCAGAAGAGACTGTCGGATCCCCTGGGACTGGAGTTAAGTACACTTGTTAGCTGCCATGTGGGTGCTGGGATTCGAACCCAGGTCTTCTGCAAGAACAACCAGTGTTCTTAACCACTGAGCCATCTCTCCAGCCCGTGGGGTTTTTTTGTTTGTTTGTTTTTTTAAATAAAAACTCAACTCGGGGCTGGAGAGATGGCTCAGCAGTTAAGAGCACTGACTGCTCTTGCAGAGGACCCAGGTTCAATTCCCAGCATCCACATGGAGGCTAAGAACATTCCTTAACTCCAGTTCCAGGGGAATCCAAAGCCCTCTTCTGACCTCCGTGGCATTGCACAACACAGGTGCACTCACATACATGCAGGCAATACACTCGTATGCATAAAATTTATAAAAAATAATAAAAATAAATAAATAGCCAGGCATGGTGGCGCACGCCTGTAGTCCCAGTACTTGGGAGGCAGAGGCAGGCGGATCTCTGTGAGTTCTAGGCCAGCCTGGTCTACATAGTGAGTTCCAGGACAGCTGGGGCTACAGGGAGACCCTGTCTCAAAAAGACCAAAAAAAAAAGATCAAAAATAAATAAGTAAAATAGAGCCAGTCATGGTGGTACACACCTTTAGTCTCAGCAGAGGCAACCTGGTCTACATAGAGACTTCCAGGCCAGCCAGAGATACATAATGAGACCCTGTCTCAAAACAAAACATCTCAAAATTTATTTTTATTTATTAGTGTGTATGTGTGTGTGTATGTGATGCATATGTGTGTATGTGGATGCTCATGTACGACCATGTGGGTGTGGAGGTCCGAGGACAAACTTTGGGAGTTTGTTCTCTCCTACCATGTGTTCTTGGAATCAAACTCAGGTCTTTAGTCTTTCACAGGAAGCGCTCTTACCCTCTGAGCCTTCTCAACAACCCACATGGCTTTAAAACAATTTTTGAGACAGAGTCTCCCTGTAGCCCCAGCTGTCCTGGAACTCACTATGTAGACCAGGCTGGCCTTGAACTCACAGAGATCTGCCTGCCTCTGCCTCCCAAGTGCTGGGACTAAAGGCGTGCGCCACCATGCCCAGCCTATCTCTTTTTAAAAAAATATTTTATTTATTACTTTTATTTTATGGGTATGTGTGTATTGCCTGCATGTAGTAAGTGCACCCATGTAGTGCAATGCCAGCAGAAGACAGAAGAGGCTATCAGATCCCTTGGAACTGGAGTTACGGACAGTTAGCTGCCATGTGGGTGCTGGGAATTGAACACGGGTCTTCTGCAAGAACAACCAGTGTTCTTAACCACTGAGCCATCTCTCCAGTCCTTATTTATGTCTTTTGAGACAGGATCTCCCTGTGGCATCTAACTCAGGTCCTCATCAAACTCAACTATCTCCCCAGTCTTTTTTTTTTTTGGTCTTTTTGAGACAGGGTCTCCCTGTAGCCCCAGCTGTCCTGGAACTTACTATGCAGACCAGGCTGGTCTTGAACTCACAGAGATCCGCCTGCCTCTGCCTCCCAAGTGCTGGGATTAAAGGCACGTGTTGCTATGCCTGGCTACCTCCTGTGTTTTTCTTTGGTTGAGACAGTATCTTAAGAAACCCAGGCTGGGGGCTGGAGAGATGGCTCAGCGGTTAAGAGCACTGACTGCTCTTGCAGAGGACCTGGGTTCAATTTCCAGCACCCACATGGCGGCTATGAACTGTTCTTAACTCCAGTTCCAGGGAAATCCAAAGCCCTCTTCTGATCTCTGCCACATTGCATGACACGGATTCACTCACGTACATGCAGGCAATCCACTCAAACACATAAAAAAAATAATAAATAAAAAAAAAATTTTTTTTTGGTCTTTTTGAGACAGGGTCTCCCTGTAGCCCCAGCTGGCCTGGAACTCACTGTGTAGACCAGGCTGGCCTTGAACTCACGGAGATCCACCTGCCTCTGCCTCCCAAGTACTTGGACTACAGGCATGCGCCACCACACCTGGCATAAATAAAATATTTTTTAAAAAAGAAAGAAAGAAACCCAGGCTAGCCTTGAACTTTGTATATTAGAGGATGACCTTGAACTTCTGGTCCTCTACGTCCTGGATACAGGGATGACAGGCATGAGCACCCCTCCGGGTTTATTCAGTGCTAAGGCTAAAACCCAGGGCTTCATGCAGGTTAGGCAGGCACTCTACCCACTGAACCCCAGCCCTGAGGGATATGTTGAATGAGCTGGTGGGTGTGGGGACATCTCTGAGGTTCGGTGTGGGTTTCTGTGGACTCTCGCTGTCTCTCCTCTAGTCTGTCTTCACCCATTGTGTTCGTCCCACCCCCTTTCCAGGTGTCCTATGCCCGCCCCAGTTCTGCATCCATCCGGGATGCTAACTTGTATGTCAGTGGCCTCCCCAAAACCATGAGTCAGAAGGAGATGGAACAGCTGTTCTCACAATATGGCCGAATCATCACTTCTAGAATCCTCGTGGACCAGGTCACAGGTCAGGATGCTGGGGTGACAGGTGCAGTCCACAGGGGTTGCCCAGGTGCCATCCAAACAAAGCTGTAATTGGAGGTGGGGGGTACAGGAGGTAGAAGAGGGGAGAGTCACAGGAGAAGGACAGGATGGCCCATGACAGAAGCCCTAACACTCCTGGCAGGTGTCTCTCGGGGTGTGGGATTCATCCGCTTCGACAAGAGGATTGAAGCTGAAGAGGCCATCAAGGGATTGAACGGGCAGAAGCCACTGGGCGCCGCTGAACCCATCACAGTCAAGTTTGCTAACAATCCGAGTCAGAAGACAGGGCAGGCCTTGCTCACCCACCTGTACCAGTCCTCTGCCCGGCGCTATGCGGGTCCCCTGCACCATCAGACACAGCGCTTCCGGTGAGCCTGAGTCCCCAGACCCCCAGGCCAGGGGCCTGCGGTGGCTTCTGCAGGGAGGAGGGGTGCAGGGACACCCCAGCACAGAGAGCAGGGAAGAGCAGCTGCCCAACGCAGGCTCTTGCATGTAGCAGGTGCTCCACATGTGTGGGCCACTACAGTTGGCATGGAGACAGCTAATTGAGGCCCAACTGTGGCTCGTTCATACTCTCTCACTCCATCTGTCTTTCTCTGCCATTCTCTCTTTTTATCTCTCCATCTCTCTCTCTCCCTGTCTCTCCCATTTCTCTCTGTCTGACTCTCTCCCTGTCTCTGTCTCTCTCTCTCTCTTTCAGTGTGTATTTCTCACCCCGTCTCTGTGTGCCTCTGTCTGTGTCTCGGTCTCGGTCTCTTGCTGTCTCTTTGCTCTGTATTCATTCACGTGTTCCTACCTCTGTCTCTCTGTCTCTGTGTCTCTTTCTCTCTCTGTCTCTCCGTTTCTCTCTTTCTGGCTCTCTGGCTCTTTCTTGCTCGGTTCTTATCTCTTCCTACTTCTCTCTCTGTCTCTCTGGCTCTCTCTGTGTGTCTCTCCTCTGTTGCTGTCTGCCTTTTTTTCTGCCCCGTCTCTCTCTATCTTCATCTCTCTGACTCTGTGTCTCTGTCTGTCCTCTGTTCCTGTCTGCCATTCTTTCTGACTCTGACTCTGTCTCTCTCCGTGTTTCTCTCTGTTGCTGTCTGTGTCCCTGTGCATATGTGGATCTCTGTCTCTCTGTCTCTCCCCCTCTGCTGCTCTTCACCTTTCTGTCTGTTTCTGTCTCTGTCTCTTATATTTGGCTCCTATGGTCCATGCCTCAGTTTCCTCATGGATAACCTTACCACCAAACATTTGCTGAGCAGCTATTCTGTGCTGGTCATGTCATATAGTGTGTGCTGTGGTAATCAGATCAGAAGAGAGGGAGTCCTGTCCCATTCCACTGAGATCTTCTCAGCTCACACAAGAGATTTCCCAGGTCAAAACAAACAAACAATACATGAACAGGATCTGGAGTGGCAGGAGGACAGGGCGCTCCCATAGACCTGGGGGAACCATGCAAGTTGCCCCTTGTAGGCTCAGCAGTGGGGGAAGCTCCCTGTGGCTGTACTGTCATTGTCATGCAGGCTCCTCTTAAGCCAGACATCCCAGTCCCGGAGTAGGTGGACCCTGTGGGCAGCCAGGAGGGGGAGGATGTGGAGAGTTCAGGCTGGGTAGCAGCAGGGCAGGCGGTGCCAAAGCGAATGAAGTTCCGTGCCAGGCAGTGTCCAGTCGGCCTGGGCGCGGGAAGCGGGGGCAGGGCCCTGCTGCAGGCCGTGGGGGCAGGGAGAGCCGGCTGTCACATCACAGCCTGGGGACAGGCCACCAGCCACCCTGACCGATGCTTCTGTCTCCACAGGCTGGACAATTTGCTGAACATGGCCTATGGTGTCAAGAGGTAACAGTGCCCCTGCCCTGCTGCCCCCATCCCCTACTGTCCCCTTGTCTTTTTTACCCTCCCCCTGGTCCTGCATGCACCTTATCTCCAGGATAACTGGTTAACCATCTCTGCCTGTGTCTAGGAACAGGATAACCCTCAAGACAAGGAGCATTAGTAAACATCTAGAAAGAGTGGATACAGAATGTGGGACGCAGAGGGCCGTCTGAGGCGCCTGCAGGTCTCTTTGTCGTCTCAATAAAAGGGGGAGTGAAATCACGCCCACCAGCACCCATAGACCTTTGAGGCCTACCCACTGCCAGTTACTGTTTGTGTTTGGGACAGAACCCAGGGCCTTCCAAATGTTAGGCCTCTGCTCTGCCACTGAGCCACATCCCCAGCCCCTGACTCGGGGTTTCTAGGCAGGGGCTCTGAGTCATGCCCCCATCCATCTGCAACCATTGCTGGTTTTGTCAGTTACAGAATGATCACCTCCTTCCTCAGAGTCATATGAACCCTAAACCCTCCCCACTTTGTCTGTATCCCTGATTTTGTGAAAGTTTCAATGTTTATTACATCACAAGGTGTTGGGAGCATGTTGTATTAGAAGCCTGGGCTTGGGGCCGGAGTGGCCAAGCCAGACTTGTCCCCTCTTGGAAATGAATCAGAGACAGAGCACTGTGCTTGGCACATAGCAAGAGTTCAATAAAAGGCAGGCCTTGCATGAGTATTGCCACCGACACTCCTGGTCTTATGATGTGGAATTGGGTGATGGTTAGGGCCATGCAAGGGCAACATAAGGGTGAGTGGAGACCCAGAAGAGCCCGGGCCATCAGCGCTCAGACTTGCAGGTAATCTGGCATGGGGAGTAGCCTCTGCAAAGGCTCAGAGGAGGGAGCAAGTCCCTCACCACCAAAGCAAAATGGTGGAGACTCTCAAGAATCCTCCCAGAAAGCTGAGTGATCTAATCCTGATGGTGAGCAAACCAGTGGGAAATGGGTGGAGTCAAGTCCAGACATCATTAATTCAGTCAACAGATACTTCTAGAATGTCTTCTAGGTAGTATTCTAGGGCTGGGCCATCCCTGGGGAGAAACTCTTGCAGGGATCATAATACTCAATACAGTTGTCCCCTTATTTATTACGGATACTTCCCCTGTGGATTCATGAAACATGTTGGACATGGAAGGCTATGTGAATTTTATATTTTATGTAGTTAAATTCCTATTTCTCTTATTTATTTGGAGTTTTGTTTATTTTATGCATCTCATTTGTTTTAAAGTCTATTTTTATAGCTGGACATGATGATGTATGTACACTTTTAAACCCGGCACTCAGGAGGCAGAGAGAGATCTCTGTGAGATTGAGGCCAGCCTGATCTACATAGCAAGTTCTAGGCCACCTGGGGCTACAGGGAGACCCTGTCTCAAAATACAATAATGTGTGTGTGTGTGTGTGTGTGTGTGTGTGTGTGTGTGTGTGTGTATGTTGCCTATGGAAACCAGAAGAGTGTTGGGATCCCATGGAGCTACAGTTGTGAGCCATCTGATGTGGGTGATGGGAACCAAACTTAGGTCCTCTGGAAGAACAGTATGTGCTCTTAAACACTGAGCCATCTCTCCAGCCCCTGGCTAGTTTTTTGTTTTGTTTTTGTTTTTAAGTTGTGCTGGGGTTAAAGGTGTGTGCCACTAGGCTCAGCCTGTGGTGTTTTTGTTTTTTTGAGACAGGACATCATTCTGTAACCTAGGATGAGCTCAAAGTCACAGCAATTCTCTTGTCTCCGTTCACCAAGTGCTGTGATTTCAGGCATGAGCTTCCACAGCCATCTTATATATCTAGCAGTCTCTTTATTTGACAGAGTCTACACAGTGAGTTCAAGGCTAGCCTGGAATACAGGAAAGGATTAAAGTTAAGGGAGAAGACAGCCTAGGGAAGGGCTGACATCAGTGGAGCCCAGGACCAGGCAGGGCCAGAGGCTGGTCATGAACTCAGGCTAAAGATGACACTTAGAACAGAACCAGGGGAGTCAGTGTGGGAGTCAAGGTGGGGCTGCAGGTCAGGGGCTGGTGTCTCAGGTGGGGTCAAAGAATGAGGTCATGAGATCACAGGCAACAGGAGCCTTGGTGTGTGGGGGGGGTCTCCCGATGGTGGGGATCAAAGGCATGCTGGGGGTCAGGGCAGAGCCCGCGTGACCCCCAAAGTAGTCCCCTGTCGCTCATCGCCAGGTTCTCCCCGATCGCCATCGACGGCATGAGTGGCCTGGCGGGCGTGGGTCTGTCTGGAGGGGCGGCAGGTGCCGGCTGGTGCATCTTTGTGTACAACCTTTCCCCGGAGGCTGATGAGAGCGTGCTGTGGCAGCTGTTCGGGCCCTTCGGGGCGGTCACCAACGTCAAGGTCATCCGAGATTTCACCACCAACAAGTGCAAGGGCTTTGGCTTCGTCACCATGACCAACTACGATGAGGCAGCCATGGCCATCGCCAGCCTGAATGGATATCGCCTCGGTGAACGCGTGCTGCAGGTGTCGTTCAAGACTAGCAAACAGCACAAGGCCTGAGCATCCTTCCGAGCCCTCCCTCCCCGGGCAGCAGAGAGAGAGAGAGAGAGAGAGAGAGAGAGAGA